AATTCCAACGCTTCCTTTACATAAACAAGCGATTCGCAATCCGCACTCATACATCATTTTTAGTGTTTGTTTTGACGGCGTGGTCATATGCGCAGCCGTTATGGCGTCAGTGACGAGACAGCTGATTTTTATTTTGTTCTTTTGCTTCGCATCTGAAACACAGAATTCGACAACCTTATATGTTTTAGGTACTGCGTATTTCATTCCGAAAGAATAAATAGACAATGTTTCTTTCTCCAACAAATTTTAAGTTTTAATTTCTTAACTACACTAATATGAACAAAACTTCGTGTAGCACCACAATCGAAAATTAAATTAGTTAACTCTGACTTTCCGTCATAATGAGCTAACACTGAACAGGTTTGCAATAAAGCATTTTTATTCAATGATTTATCACAAGGAACAACAGAAAGCGTGTGTTCTTTCGGGGAGTTTTGTGTTTCATCTACTGAATTATCTTCGCGAGCTTTCGCACAATTCTTTTATGTTTTGATTTGAAGCCGTTCGCGCTTTGTTACGATTTGAACTACTCGTACATAGTGACTCATGATGCGACTTAAACCCGCATTTTAAGCAGTTAGTTTTATTTCTGCACGATTTCCAAATGTGATATTTTCGAAAACAAATAAAGCATCTATTTTCAGTACGTAACTTACACAATTTTTCTTTAATGCTTTTATCACAAGAAAATGAATTATGGGACTTTTCGCAGAAGATGCATGCACGATTATCAACAGCATTGAAACTGGCAGCCGTAGGTACATTTCTGTGAATTTTTTTTTTATAATCATAATCATACCTAGCATGTTCGAAACGTGGAGGCAAGGTATTTCTTTTATCTCGCGTCAATAAACTCGACGCTTCACGACATTCAATTTCCCGCTTTATGAAGTCCAACAAGTCTGAAACATTAATTTCTTCATTTGGGTTTTTCCTTCGATTAAATTCCAGAACGAACTCTTCTGGAATAGCTTTTAACAACACAGGTATTAATAACTGACCAAATGAACCTTTCGTAACTCCTTGCGCTTCCAAATTCCGAACTGCAATTTCGATTTCATCATATAACCTACGTAAAGCTTTAATATTATTTGAATTCCTTACTGGTTCTAAATTTAACAGTTTGTTCATGAATTGACTAATTATTATTTCTTTTTTCCCGAATCTATCCTTCAAAGTTTTTATACTCTCATCGTAATTTTTTGCATTTAATTCTAATGAAGATACTACATTACTCGCGGCACCTGTAAGTAATGTTTTCAAGTATGCGAATTTTTCTATCTTACTAAGACTTTCGTTTTTGTCTATAGTGCTTTCGTAACTGTTCCAAAACTCCGTAAATTTTTTCAGGATCACCTGAATATTTCTCTAAAATTAGTTTTGGAAGTTTTATTTTACCGTACTTTGTACATTTTGCAGTCTAACCAAGTTTTGTTCAGGATCTTTAATACTTATTTTATCCTCTTCCAACATTCGATTAATTCGTTTAATAGCTCGAGAACATTTTTCCTGATATTCCTCAGAACTAACTACATCCGCTTCTAGAGAATCTATCTCAATTACGGAATGAATTGCCTCGTCTAATTCTTTCAAATTACTTTTCTTTTCTATTAATAATTCATGCACTTCGCATAATTCATCTGTATCTTTCTTTGCTAAGCTATCCTCGACTTTCTTTAATAGTTTAGATACTACCATTCTCAATGCGGTTCTCTTTCGTTTTAATCTATCTAGTTCTGCCATTATTTCGCGTTAATACACAAATGTACCCAAGACTGCAAATTATCAAAATTCAAATCAAACACGTTCAAAATTTAATAATAATCATGCTCTTACCTAGGGCATGGTCTGGACACATACTTCCTCGTGAAGTTCACTTTAACAAATCCAAACATTTCCGTAAGATGCACCACTGTGACGAACCTGCATTTATCCATGGCGGCCCGTAGAGCAATCACAAAACATCCGGTGGTTCAGTTTTCTAATACTATTTATTATCCGTTATATTTACATATTTACAACTGTCCTATTGTTAGGTGGACTACCTTCACAGAAATCATGTTGCCTAATCAAACGACATTTCGTTTCTACTTACATGCATTGCGCTACTGCCAAGCAGCGCCCTCTACTTCTCTCTTTACAACAACGGGAGAAACAAATGAAAAGTACTCATGAATAAACTAGTAGTAGCTATCACAGTGCTATTTATTTAAAAGAAACCTACATTCCATTAAAACGACATAGTAATATTAACATTACAGTATCTAATAAGATATCTTTATTCCTACTTCTCTTCATCTTGAACCTCGCACGCTCTTATTGATGAGTTCTGTTACCTCTAGGCCTCAAATCATTTAATGCTGCTCGAAGCTCTGTCAGTAACCCATCTGCTGTTAGGTGACCCATCTCTGTCACCATTGTCACTGTTGTTATCGTCTACTTTACGTTCAGTCTATTTTCCCACATGGAATGATCTTCAAAACCATCAAAAGCATTAAATATCCCCGTTTTCTTGAAACATTTCACAGTTATTGTTTTATCAATCCTGACCCAAAATTTAAGAGCAAATCAGTTAATTAGACCATCCAAAAGAACCATCCAAAAAGTGGGTGAAAGCATTTTAAAATTTATCGTAGCTCGCAATATAAACATCTTGAGGAAGGGAAAATTACATGAATACTTAAATGAATTTCAGAATCTTGCGCTAAAAATCTAGATAGAAAAAAATACGAGAGTAAATACAGTATGTAAATTCATTATACAAATCTGTCATCATTACCATGGCATGGATATTAAAAGAAAAACTGTAACTTAATTTATAATTAAATATGTAGTGTAATTTAAATTTTTTTTCGAAGGCAGGAAACGGAAGAAATGTGCAACGCCCAAGCTGGGAATCGACCTCCGGAGCTCCCGAGCATGCGTCGAGTGTGCTTCGAGTTATACCACGAAGGCAGGCGGAAAGGAGAAAATACCTTATAAATGCATCGAATTACTCAGAAACATAAAATATTTCCATGCTAAGATTGCATTAAATTGCTGCCAGACCAGTAAAAATTCTGACATTTAACAAACTAAGTGCAATAATTTTGAAAATATTCCCTTTGTATTAATTTGTCCACATCTATGATAACTGATTTCAAATAATTGAGTTTTTGAACAAGAGTAGTTTGCGAAGAACAAATCTTTAGAGTATGAGAAACATGAGAATAAAATGTTGGTAGTAGTAGTTTGAAATAGAGTATTTACAAGTAGACAAGCAGAATATTTATATGAAATAGCTTTATAATCATTCATAAGTTGAATTTTCCTTTATAATCATTCATAAGTTGAATTTTCCTTTATAATCATTCATAAGTTGAATGAGTACTCTTTCTGCATGAATATGGCGTGATTTTAGTATGTCAAAACCAGAGTTTTAATTGTTTTTAGGTATTTTAAGCGCAAATATAATTCAAATTGATGATAGAACACGTTTACAATAATTTTGGATATTTTTATTTACTTAGGCCTCCAGACATATGTATTGACTAATGGGAAATAATAATCATATAGGTTATTTTTAAATAAAGACTGCTAATTTTGAATTTTCAGTTTGCATTGCTCTGAATATAGAATATGACCTTTTGAAATTTCGCTCATGGGTGAGAAAGAGAGCGCACCCACTCTTGCGACATTTTTTTTTGCCCAGAATCTGACGCCACGTGCATTTACGACATCAATTTATATGGTTCGTAGTGCGAGGTTAAAATATTTAGGAAAATTAAAAGTCCACCGATTATGATACGGCTATTAATCCAATTCTTAACAGCCAGAAATATGAAAGCTGAGAATATTCATCATCAGAGACGTGACAATAAAATGAAAGACTGCAAAGTGAGAAAATGTGCGCGATAATTCAAAAGACAGTTGAGAAAACGTTCATTACAAATCGCACTCTGATCGTCCATCTGTAAACACTAAATGATTTGATGAAGGCAAATGAGACCCAAATTTACGCAAACAGAGCAGGAAAGAAAGAAATAGGCGGGACATCAGAACTTCATCATTGATTTTACAGGTATAGTCCAAATGCACTAGCTATACAGCTTCGCCTTAAAGCCTAGTGGACGGATTCAAGGGTCTGCCACCCCTCTTTCCCTAACCCCACACTATTCCAGATGCTTGCAAACATTTGTCTCTTCCCTAGATTCGAACCTGAACCCAACGATACGGCAGACAATCTCTCTAATTAATATGCATTGATTGGAGCGGTTTTTCTTTTTTCCCAGAGTACACGTAAGCAGGAGACAGTAACAAATGGTACGAAAAAATAAAAATTACTGATGGAGGAATGAAAATGGCTGTGCATAACTGGCTACCATCAGCGGCGGCAGAGCTCTATGAGGACAGTATTCAAAAACTGGTTGTCCGTTACGGTAGATGTTTAAACCAAGAAAAGAATTATGCAGAATATTTACAGTTCCCGTTTTTATTGCAAAACGGATCTTACTTGAAAAGCAACCCTCATATATATACATACATGAGTAAACATACATAACAATGTAAATATTTGTATCAAATAGTCTTGACCGGAGGAAATTAACTTAAAGGAACGAATCACGTAGTAAATTACAGTCAATTAAATCACTATGAAATGAATCACAATAACATATTTTAAAGAAGTAAATAAAGAAATGAAAGGAAGAGAAAGGCTTCACCCATATGCTCTTTCATGATTTTATTTAAATAAAATCATGAAGGATCATGGTCTTTCATGATTGCATATTTAAAAATGCATTCTTCTATCACTGTATTTATGAAAGTAATATGTGAATGAACATGAAGCAAAAGAAATAAATTTTATTAACGTAATACGTAGGCTTTTGTTGAGGCAATTATAATACTCTGAATTTCCTTCAACTAAATTAATCAGATTTGATTTAAACGGAAATCATGAGTTTTCAATCATTAGAATTTTTTTCAAATAACGTAAGTACAAAATTACAAAGAAAACGAAGTTGGTTTAGTTAAAAATCTTTATTTAACACAAAAATATGGAGAGATGGGAAAATGCTTGTGTGTCTACGGCATTGTGGATATGAATCATAATTATCATCATACGAACAATATAGCAAGTTTTACTTAAGTATTATCACCGCTCTAATTAACTGTTTTATTATTGAGAAGTTTCTTTTTCATAAGCTGATTTCCACATATCTGCAAGGCAAACTGATGAATGAAAACGATAAAACAGCATTAGGGGTAATGTGGTATGCCCAATGAACATCCAAACGAGATCACCGAAGTATTCTTCTTGCCCATGATGGTGTTCAACACTTTTTAGTTCAAATGTGTTAACAACCCATAAAGTAAGGTTTAGGATGATAAGGAAAGTTATTACTTCCCTTCCTGGTTTTTTGTATCGGAGACTTTGAGAATTGCTACATCTCCTTAAGCCATCTATAATAAAAGGTGTTTGAACTACTACTTGAACAGTAACTAAAGTATGAACTGCAAGTCGGGTATAATTTTGATTTGCAACTTCTGCCATAATGGACATAATGCCATGCACGAAATAAAATGGAAGTGGTACAAATAAAAGAACATCGTCAAGGAATGTTATAGGATGTTCACTTATGTCAAGCTTATGGATCTGGTAGAAGGCAACACAAACTGAAACTAGTCCAATTACTGTTAGTATGCCTTCTTGTCCGGTATGTATTGATACTGCTTTCTCCTCATATCCATGTGTAGACATAGCAACGAAGAAAACGATAACTGTAACTATAATTGTAAGTAGTAGGAAAAGGCCGATAAATAGGCCTTTATTTGCAGAATGACAATCAGCATTAATAACTAAATTGCTCTGGTAAGCAATTTCATCGCTCCCACATTCGTCTTGTGAAATAGTATGCCGTAAATGATGAGGATTTGAATTCATGTGTTCTTTGCCAATGTTATGCCAAACTATAAACCAAACTCCAGCCAGAAGCAGATTATATTCGATTGCAAATGGGTATAGGTAAGGTATGAGGCTCATTGATCGCGTTGAAAGCACGGAATCTTCTCGACAGTGGTATGGATTAATCCAGTTCTCTCTTCTATGCACTGTGATGTGGAAGCTTGCAATATCTGAAAAAAAAAATTGCTTCATGCTTAAAAATACAAATGTTAATTTATGCAGATGATAAATTTGAAATGTAATTATTCAAATAATTTTTTCTAATTCTTCGCATCAGTTAAAAACATTTATTGCATTTAATACGGATCTGTGAAGAATATTAAGGACTTTAGGTTACGAAAATTATTGACTTGAGAAAATTAAACAGTTGAAGCATCTTACTAGAGATAAGCATCTATATTCAAAGTCGCAAACGGTGTATAATGCAGCAATGCTCCTTAAAATACTACATTTATACATGCTTCTCCCTTTTGTTACTAATCTTAACTTTAAAAACAGAGAGGGGGAAATTATGTGAAGTACACTATTTTCAGGAGGAAAGCTTAAATGGGAAACATATCACATCAGAAAGCACATATCAACGGAAACATTAATATTGTTGAGAGTTATGGATTAAAGGATGTCCCTCTTTTTAAATAATCACTCCAGATGAGCAGGAAAGAAGAGAAAACTTATTTGGCCTAATAATAAAATGCAGCAAAATAACTAGCTGTATATAACTCAAGGAGAATACAGATAATAAGGAAACCTTCTTAATGTGCAAAAAATATCGTAATGTTGCGATAGCTTTCACAGAGTAAATATTGGCGCTACTGAGCTAAAGTTTTGAACAGCAGTCCCTCTGAAATACCCAAATTGAACGAGAACAGATTAACAGATGACTCACTTCAGCTCAAAGGAGCCGTATTTATATAGTATTCTCGTGAAATTGTGAAAGAGTAGGGAAAATTAGCGCCTACACCTTCGAAAATGTAATTTTTTCGAAACTTCCAGGAACACGTCAAATATCTCCAACCTGAAGACAAGGCCCATCAGAAGTATTGCTTGCATTCAAGTTCAGCTCTACGAGAAATGCAAGAAATGCAGTTCTATATAAGAAATAAACAAAACACATGGACAAAAAGTTAGTTACATACAAAATAAACCTTAAAACTATTAACCTAAATGCAAAAAAATAATCAAGCAAATAAAAACATGTAGAATCAGCAGGTTTTTTTAATGCTTGGAGACGTGAAAAATGTGCAGTGCCCTCGCTGGGATTCGAGCTCAGGAACTCTCAAATGCGCGTCGATTGTGCTTCCAGTTACACCACGAAGGAATCCCTGGAAGATCGATGAACGTCTTTTAAACGCGCCTAAAGATCTTCAAGTAGTGCTCGGGCGAAGAAGGTATGTCTAACTGTCATCCAAAGAGCTGGTCGCACGGTAGAAGATCACGGCTAAAAGTTATTTGTGACGAAGAAACTACAGTGCTGTCATGAACGACCCTCCTTCAGACGAGTAGGAATAGTAGCAGATTTTGGTTCCAGTCCTGCTGGATACGGGATAAGAATAGCGATGGACGGTATTGTTCGATTAAATATCTTCCTCGTGCCGTCCTCTCGAAGTTTGATCCAGGTTCAAATCCGTCTAATGGGCTGGCAACGTGGGCATTTTGGAAGCTTTCCCAAAATGTAACTTGGATACAAGCCAGTTCTACTTAAAAAGAAAGTCTTCTATGAAAGTATCTATCGTGGTGAATGATTTTTGGGAATACAGCGGTGACATTTCTTGTATGATTATGTGGTTATTATGTAAACGGTGGTGCTGGTGACATCATATTTACAATAATAATAAATTTCATAGTGGCTTAACCTATGCAAATCCTGTTCGATGCCTGGCCACGGTTAGCACTTTCACGCTTTTAGTTTCCAGTGTCTCAAGGGGTATATAGATGCGCTGCTCTAAAAGCACCAAGAAAACCTCTAACTAGTATATACGGACCTCTAGTTCGAGATGTTTCTCGAGGAAAGAACTGAATTAGAAAAAGGAAATGACTGAATTAGCCATTTCTAAAAGTACTTTTGCGTCCTTTTTTTAGAAAGTTCTCAGTCTCTTTCTTACCCAGCAGATGTTCTTCATTGAGAAATCAACATTCAACTAGTGAATTACCAAGCAGTAAAATTTGGAGTAAATCATTAACTTAATTTGGAAATAAATTTTTTGTACATAACCTAATTGTAGCGTAATAAATACTCAGGAACAAATAAACAGGAATACAAAAGCTCTACCACACTGCTATCTCTTCTCTTTCTGCTACAGTACGCATTCATGTTACAAAGGGGTGAAATGAAAGGCACCGAAAAAATTAGCGAGTCATTGAAAATTTCGAATTAGCTTTGAAATTCGAATTTGGAATTAGGTTTCGAATTAATCTTTAATTTTTTATATTTTATGAATACATTCGATTACAATTATAAAGTAAACATCTGTACAAAATCTTAAGACAGAGCTTATAAGGTATTTCTCCCGCCCCCTTGGCATGCCTTCGTGGTGTGGTGGTCTGCACGCTGGGCGCGTACTTCCAGAGGTATGTGGTTCGATTTCCGGCGAAGGCGTTGCTAATTTTTCAATTCTTCTGCTTCCAAAAATATACCTAATGTCTCTACAAGCTAATCTAAATATAAATTTGACATCTTAGGACATATGTTGAGTGTACAAAGAAAATCAAAAGTCTGTTAAACTAAAAATACGTAAAAATCAAGCAATATGCATATGTTACAAAAACTTCACTTACTGTGATAATTATAATGTAAGGTAATAACAGCAAGTGATTTATCATTCCGGAGTTTGAACTGCAATTTCTTGAAAAGTTTAATATTAAAACATTTTCAGATATGTTATGTGCGTCCAACACAAACTAATTTGTGCAAAAAAGAGAATTTTGGTAGAAAAGAATCTTGAAAAATTCACTGTACTTATACTCGGGGTCGAAAACTGGACCTTAACCAGCTCGATGCGCTGAGTGTAATATAAGAACATGCGCAGAGTGTAATATAAGAACATGCGCTGAGTGTAATATAAGAATATAAATGTAATATAAGAGTGAAAAGAACTTCATAGTTTGCAAATATTTATATTAAATCTTTTAGTATTCTTGAAAACTTTAGTCATCAATAGACTGGAAATTCATTTCTAATTTATGCTGTAATAAGGCGGTTATCAAGTATACTTTATAATAGAAGAATCTTATTTACAAATTTTAGACAAAATAAAAATATTACCAAATTCGGATGTTGGGGTATCATTAGTCAGATTGCCACTCTTATGATTATAATCTTCAACTGCTTCTTCCACTATAGTGCTAAACCAGTTGCATAGGCATGTTGCGATGAGATGCATTATGCCAAACCTTGCTAGACTTTTCATGCGGTTGATAACGATCTGTTGGGATGAAATACAGTACTACGGTTACTTTTCTCAAATGATTACCATTTTGGTTTAAGCAGTTTATATAATAAATTTAACACTACGCTGTGATTAAACGAGAATACCTTTGCTCCATAAAATCAAGTTAAATAATAGAATATCCATAGTTCTATTTTTTACACCAAAATTCTTTTTTTATTTTATATTAACGTCTTTTAATGTAAAAGGTGTGTCATTATATTAAATAAGTTAAAAATATTTCTAATCTTTAATTTTCTTTGAAAAAAGAACTAGTTTACATTTTTTGTTTTTGTTTTTGTGGTTTAGCGTAAACAAAATTCATGATTATCCTTATGTGTTGCTTTCTTTAGATGAAAGGTCAATTTATGTATGGTGTAAACCAAATTTTGGTGTCATGAGTTTTCCTTTGTTCATAAACTTTTTAAAAGTTTGCATATATAGGGCATATGCATATATAGGGCATAGGCATATATATATAGGGCATATGCCTATGCCCTATATATACATATATATAGTATATGTACATATATATACATATACTATATATATGTATATATATGCCTATGCCCTATATATACATGTATATAGGGCATAGGCAAAGTTCCTATGCCCTATATATATGTATATATGCCCTATATATGTGTGTAGCTTTTTATTTAATAGATTCACTACTTTTTATATCAAACGCTACAAATATATATATACTATTAAAGTTTTTACTTTTAAGTAGACGGCGTCTTGCGTTACCCTGCGGATTGTGTCTAAAGATAAAATTGATATCGATGGAAAATTAAACGTAAACATCACTTTTCAGAAGTGCCACCTACACCACACGGTATATGCAACAAATGTTACAGATCCTTGCGTACTAGGATCAGACTTTTTACTGAAATGTAATTTTCCCTTGGACTTGAAAAATAACGAACTGCATTGTGCATCTGAGGACATAACCCTATTCGGAATAAATAATGAAGGAGTTAAATCTGTTCACTAAATCATAGCTCATGACAATATCACAGAAACGACAAGAACAGAATTTTTACTTCATGGATCCATATCCGAAAACAGAAATTTTCGATACGGTGTAATGGAAATTTCTGTTTCCGTATATGGAATATTTCAAGGATTGTAACACTCCGCGAGGAGTATAGTAGCCTTGGCACTAGTCGGCTTACTGAGGACAGTTATTCCGGAACAGCTGCCAACGTCAATTTTGATAAAACGAAAATAAGTAGGAAAGACGAAGTGATTGCAGCATGTATCCTAGTGAGTTGGATTAAACGACCCAATAGTCCGCCAATCTCTGTGTTTTCGGAGACCATAATATCGGAGTTATTGCAGAACGCACAACTAAGCAATGAACAGAGGAGTGCTACCGAACATGTCATTCAAGACTTTCAAGATGTTTTCCCTCGATCGTCTTCTAAAGTGGGTAGAATTAGTTTCACATAGCATCGAATCGATATCGGGGATCATCCACCAATCAAGCAACATCCAAGACATCTACAGATTGCTAAACAGAAACAGATAGGTAAACTTCTAAACGACATGCAAAAAAGCGAGGTCATCAAGCCTTCAGCAAGTTCCGTGGGCTTCTTTCATTGTCCTGGTGAGAAAGAAAGACGGTTCAACTAGATTTTGCGTTAACTCTCGGCGGATGAACGAGGTTACGAAAAAAGACAGCTACCCTCTGTTGAAGGTATTCGTGGTTCATTTTTGTTTACTGTTACAACTTCGTTAAATCGAGACGAGCAGATGAATAAAACAGAATTAAAGTTCTTACCTTAATAAAGTGTAATCCAAGCTGCTGATGTAAGGAACACGATCATTATATTAGCAAACACAAAATAACATATTTATTAGGTAGATGAAGAAAAAAAATATATCGATGATTACAAGCGTTGTTTACTATCCATTGCATAACGCGAGAAGTGAGTCATACAAGGAGAGAATTTTTCTCCTTCTTTTTGGATCAAGTCCAATTACAGTTAGCGCGGGTGAGGGGGAAATTAACGTCGGAGTGTACAGCTTCATCGCTGTCATTATGAATTGCTCCACAATCTCCCACTCGATGAGCTGTTCTGTCGGAGGTAAGCCCGATTCCTTTTAATAAAAATTCCAGCTGTTGTCTGGGCAAAGGTTTCGTGAACATGTCTGCATACATCATTTTACTGTTGCAGTGTATTAATTTAACAATCCCTTGATTTTGTAGATCACATACGTAGTGATATTTCACATCGATGTGTTTGGTGTAACTGCTTCCTTTCTCTTTTCTGGAAAGATTTATGCATGATATATTGTCCTCGAATACGATGTTAGCTTCCTGTTGAGCGAAACCTAAATCTCCCATCAGTTGTCTAATCCATTGTAGCTCCTGCAATGTTAAGGCTAGAGCGATGCATTCGGCTTCTGTCGAAGATAGGGCGACACAATTTTGTTTCTTGCTTCCCCATGATACCGTACTGTTTCCTATTTGAAATATATATCCGGATGTGGATTTTCTGTCAGAGGTATATCCTGCCGAATCAGCGTCACTGTAAGCTTTGATGACTGGTGCACATTTGATTTTAGATGTAATTTGTAATTAATTGTAGCTCTCAGATATCGTATGATTTTAATGATGCCGTTCCAGTTCGATGTTGATGGATTTTCTACTTTTCTGCTAAGTATTCCAACAGAATTTGCTATATCAGGTCTTGATACTGTTGCTAAATATAAAAGTGCTCCCACTGCTTCCCTATACTTCCGACTATCGGAAAAAACGTCATCCTGGTTGTTTTGGTTCTTCGTAAAATTTGTAGTCATGGGTGTATAGCTTAGTTTCTTTGGTGACTCTCCGTCGAATTTTTCGATCATACTCTTAATCTTGTTAGCTTGATGAAGTTTAAAGCTTCCGTCTTTTTCTCTTTCGATTTCAATTCCTAGATATGTAGACACTTCTCCAAGATTTCGAATGTCGAAATATTCTTTGAGAATTCGTTCAACTTCTTGAATTGATTCACACTTGTCGCTCGCGACTAATATGTCATCAACGTAAACGATTATGTAAGTTCTTGCGTTTTTCTCGATTAGTGTGAAGGAACATGGATCAGCCTTTCCTTGAACGTATCCTTGTTTGCGCAGGATTTCAGCTATCTTGTGATTCCAGTTTCTGGCTGCCTGTTTTAGTCCGTAGATACTTTTATTCAGTTTACAGACTTTATTTGCTTCTGAAGCAGAGATGTAGCCTTCTGGTTGCTTCATATATATATCTTCTTTCAGATCTCCATATAGAAAAGCTGTTTTTACATCGAAATGATTTACGTGCTTTTCTTTTGAGCTGCTATTGCCAAAATAGTTCTAATCGTGGTATACTTTACGACTGGTGCGAATGTTTCGTCGTAGTCGTGCCCAAATTTTCGGCAATATCCTTTAGCTACTAAACGAGCTTTATATCTGATAACATTTCCTGAAGCGTCGGATTTTGTTTTAAATGTCCACTTGTTTCCAATTGCTTTCTTTCCTTTTGGAAGATCGACTAGTTCCCATGTTTTGTTCCTCTTCAGTGCTTCCATTTCTTCTTTCGTAGCTTTTAACCACAGTTCCTTTTCTTTGGTAGGAAAAGTTTGCAGTTCTTCCCAGTCTTTAGGAACTTTGATTTCTTCATTCTTAGCCATGTATGAGAGTCTGTTTGGTGGGATTCCTTTAGTCGTTCTGTGGGATCTTCTCGGTAATAGGGGAATTTCTTCTGTTTCAATGACTTCCTCTGTAATATCAGGTTCTGTCAATTTATTTTCTTTAAAAGGCCATTCTATTTCCTCATGCTGATCATTTAATTGACGAGGCATTTCTTCTTTTTTGTTTTCCTCGAATATTACGCTTCTTCTGATCACGACGTTGTTTGCATGTGGCATGTAAATTCTATATCCTTTAATACAGTCACTATATCCGACAAGAACTCCTTTTTCTGCTCTTTCGTCTAGTTTGCTTCTTTTCTGCTTTGGAACTCGACAATAAGCTGTGCTGCCGAAACTCTGATGTGGCTTAGATTCGGCTTCTTATTATTCCATAGTTCATACGGTGTTTTTTCAACTGATCTTGATGGTAGCCTGTTTTGTAGATAGGTGGCTGTCATTACGGCTTCACCCCAAAATTCTCTTTTGAGTCCTGAATCGAGTAGCAGGCATCTTGTCATTTCCATTAAGTATCGATTTTTTCTTTCTGCTCTACCGTTCTGTTGCGGTGAATATGCTACGGAGGTTTGATGTTCGATTCCCTCTTCCTTTAGATAGTCTTCAATCTCTTTGCTTGTATATTCTCCTCCATTGTCTGTTCTTAAGACTTTTGGCTTCTTTCCAAATTTGTTCTTCGTCATGGTTACAAATTGTTTTAATTTGGAGATAGCTTCATCTTTTGTAGCTAGCAGATAGATCGTTGTGTATCTCGAATGATCGTCAATGAATGTTATGAAGTATTTCTTTCCTCCTAGTGATGTTGTACCGATTGGTCCACAAATATCTGAATGTATCAAGTCTAGAACTGATTTTGCTCTATAGTTGTTTAGCTTGGGATACGGCAATTCAGTCATTTTGCCTCTGATACAGCATTCGCATTCTTTTTCCTTTTTGGCTTTTCCGTCAATTCTTATTCCGGTTGCCAGGTCATCATTCTTTAGCCTCTTGATTGCTTCATAATTTCTGTGTCCTAGCCTTCTATGCCAAAGATCTATACTATTTTCTCTTCTTTCTGCAGCTGCAATTTTGGCTGTGTTTCTTTGCGATTCAACTACGGTATATAAATTTCCTTCTGCTTTAGAAATTCCTATGGTTTTATTTTTCTTCTTTATTCTGCAAATATCTTCTTCAAATTCGACTGTAAATCCTTTCTTTGTAATTTTTCGTACGGATATCAATCCTCCTTCTAGGTCAGGAACGTACAGAACATCTACGAGTCTCACTTCTATTTCGTTATCTTTGTCGTCTGTACAGTATAAGTATCCTTCTCCTATACCTTCG